CAACCACAACTTAGAAGGTCCGCAGCAAGAGTCTGTTGCACCGGGGTGAGAATGGAGCACAGTCCAGTGCAAGCCACACACAACCAGAAACAGCCTCTGGGAGCCACTGAATCAGCAGCAGCGTCAGCTGCTTCCAGAACTCTCAACTCACAGATGGGAAGGGAGTCAAACAACTGGTCAAAAGGAGACTACAAGGTCTCTTTGTTAGTACTGAGGCAGGACTCTGTTGCTTTGCCCATACTCAGATCTGGGTCACAGTCCTGAGTGGCAGTCCCAGGGCAAGGAGGGGCACTAGCATAGCAAAGCTTGTGGCTTCAGTGGAACAGGGACCCTCCTCAGACTTCCAGGGCAGAAAAGAGTGCTTGCATTCACTCACAGACCAGAGCACAGGCCAAGAGAGGAGGAAACACCTCTCCTTAGATCATACAGATCCCTGGAAGTACCTTGGAAAACAGCTGTACCAAATTCCTGAAGCTTGGGTCAGTGCACCCACCGCCCTGCAAGCACAGCCACACTTAAACAAAGAGTTAAAAATCAAGAAATAAACTGGAAAACTGAGCAAACAACAGAAAACAATTCCAATGATAGAAACTCTGAAGGACTTTCTGGTGAAAAATGTTACCCATCCCCAGAGTAAGAACTGATAGTGTCTGAATACAGACTGAAGCACACTTTTTAAACTTTCTTTATTTTTCTTGAGTTTTTTTGTCTGTTTTCTTTTACAGCATGACTAATATAGAAATGTTTTGCATGAATACACACGTATAACCTAAAAAAATGAACACAAGTGTTACCTGTGTTCATCTTCATCTATAGTTACCTTTTATGTCCATTCTCAATTTTCTTCCTCATATTAATCTAAGTGTTTGGTCTTCACGAAGCCTTATTAAATAATAGTAGGCTCTATTTTACACAATTATGGGGAAAGTTTTCTCTTTATTTCTGGCCAAATTATTTGAAGAGAACAAGTTACACTGTCCACAGTTAAGAGCATGTGACCTTGAATCTGGGCTGATGGCTTGTGAATAACTCCCACACTCTCTCTCTCCTCTAGCTTCCTGTCATTCTTTTCCTTTAATTCTAAAGGATTGGAAGAAAACAGGGTCATGATATTAGGGCTGGAAGGGGCCAGAGAGGTAGCCCAACCTTACCCCCTCATTTTATAGTTGAGGACACTGAAATTCAGATAAGCTAAGTTATTTGCCCAATGTTGTAAAAGTATTAAGTGGCAGAGACAGGGTTTGAACCCAGTTTTTCTGTCTCGAAATCCAGCATCATTTTAGATACTACATATATGTGTGTGTGTACATATATATATATACATATATATATATATATGTATATATATATATATGTGTGTGTGTGTGTGTCTAAAATGTACGTGTATATGTATACACACACATATATAGTTATATAGATATAAACATCCTAGACACCGATAGATAGATAGATAGATAGATAGATAGATAGATAGATAGATAGATAGACAGACATAGATATACAGACAGATAGATGTTAAGTACTTATTTTGTTCAAGGCCCTGTGCTCAGAATGAAGATTCAAAGATTAAAAAAAAAGGCATAGTCTGTGCCCATGGGGGTTTACAAGCAGGTTAAATCTGATCTTACCTAAACATAAATATGTCTGCAAAGGAAGGTGTGATGAGAACAAAGAAGAGATCCAAAGCATTTTGGGAGAATGTAAGGGTGAGGGGAGAGAAAGAATATTGTCAATTGATTTTGGCTTAAGTCAATTATTGTGATTTCTCAAATGCTTATTAAACAGTATTCTGTTTAGGGCACTGTCCTAGGTGCTGAGAATGCAAAGACAAAACAGTCCTTACCCTCAAGAAACTTAGATACTCCTGGAGTGTAAGTCATTCACACAGATAAGTAAATAAAAAGTATACACAAAGCCAATACAAAGTTATTTTTAGAAGGGAGAGATGCATGGCAGTCACATAGAGGCAGGCCATCTGTGTAATTATGGAAGCAGGAGGTGGCATGTCCTATCCATGGAACACTTAGCAGGTCATCATGACTGAAAAAGAAGGTGTGAAGGGGTGAAATATGCTGCAAGTCTAGCAAGGTTGGTAAGAGCCCAAATTGGGCAGAGATTTAAATGTCAAGGAAGTCTTTGAGTAGGTGATTCCTGAGCTGAACCGAGAAGGAACTGGCAGAAATGAGATGAGAGTGTGTTCCTGATGTAACAGTCATCATAGCAAGGCTATGGAGCTGTGAAAAGCCTGGGAGTTGTGTTTCTTCCCAGCCTGGGAAGAGATGAGACTAACAAGAGGTAAGACTGGAATGTGTTTTCCTTATTCACGTGGTAAGTTACGCTGAATCGACATGAATCTTTATACCTTTCTTAACTCTGTAAGTGAGGCAGTCGGGAAGAACTAGCACCTTTGGTATGAGGGCTTGCCAAGCCCTTTCCAGGGCTGCTCATCCACCTTTGGTGTCCATCTGATTCACCCAACTCTCACCTGTGTCTCCAAGAAGCTGTAGCATGTACAGTGGCCACAACCCAGAAAAATCATCTTGGCAGGTGGGCTAAACCAGGTTTAATGTCAGGCTTAAGCGACAGGCCACAAACCCATGTGTGAGTTAGGGGTGTCTACCCCAAGCATGGGAAGACTTCCCCCAAGGGGAATGGGTGGATGAGAACAATTTGTTCCAACAACCATGGAGGTGGCTAATGCAGGTGCTATGGAGCACTTAGAGTTTGGTCAGACAAATAAGACGCTAAGGTCATCCACTGCATCCTGAGCCATCGCCAGTCGTCCTGACTCTTGTCTTGCTGCTGGACTTCGATGACTCTGGAAGAGAGAGTGAGGCTGACTACTTAGTACAACTCTCCCTCACTTAAATCCAATTCACACTAGAGTCCAGACATCACCCCGTGATGTCATTGGTCCTCTTCAAAACAACGACAAGATGACCCCTAAAACATTGGGATTCTGAAGCAACACTCCTCTCTTTCCCCATTAGAATGTAAACATGTGATTATTACTTAGCCTCTTCCAGATATATATTCCTTTCTAGCTTTCTCTTGTCTTCTATCTATGTTTGTGCCTCAAAGACTCTATTCAGCTCTCATCTTTTCATCAGGATAAAAGTGATCAAACTTTGCCCTACATCAGACCATACTGGGAGCCCTGAAAGCTTATAGGTCAACAAGCGAATCGACAAACATTTATTAAGCACGTAGATATGCCAGGAATTGTACCAAACAATGAAACCAAATACAGGGAAGAATATTCTTGCCACTCAAGTCCTTGGCTCTGCCATATGGCTAAACATCAGAAACTAATATGATTTTGTCAGTGGAAATGGCATTAAAGAAGAGGCAGCACCATCTGCTTTGCTGCTGTCTTCTAAGGACCATGGGACCTTTGCATGTGAGTTGTAGGTGAAACTTTCCATGTGTTACCTCCTCTACCAGAATGTGAACTTTACAAGAGGGTATGGTGATTGTGGTGATCTTGGGGCATCATCCAAGTGTGAATGATTCCTACTTCATGAAGGTGGGCTCATGAAAGAGGGTCCCTCTATGCTTTCTGGGGTATTTTCCCTTTTTTTTCAGCATCTACCCTAGTGTTTATTTAAAGCAATCACACTTCCTTTTCCTAATGGTGCAGAGGGGACTCAGGGTCAAAATAGGATAGAAACGATTACCTATTTTTTCCTTCACTTTCTTCAGTCTAAGCCTTCTTTGCCCTAGAACAGGCCTACACAACCTACTATCCCACTCTCCACAATGCATGGTTTTGCCCCTTCTTCAAGCCTGTGAAGCACCCCCTCCATCTCCCCCGCAGCTGAAGAGCTCACTTCATACTTCCCTGAAAAGATTGAGGCCACTGAGAACTCCATCTTCTCTCCTACTCACCTCACATCTCTCACATATGTTCTCTTACTGCCTCTTCCTTCAGCCCTGTCTTGCATGAATGGTTGGTTCTTTTCCTTGACAAAGCAGAGTCTTCTCCACATACCCTTCATTTTAAACTTTCTATCTTCTCAGCAGGATGCCCCCATAATCACTCCCACTCTCTTGCTAATCTTCTATCTCTTTTCACCCCTGCATGAACACTAAGGTTTAGACATTGGCCCACTTACTATTCCTTACACATGACACTGTCTCTTATTCCCATGCCTTTGCATGCTCCTTGTGCCTGGAGTATTCTTCCTCCTCTCTCTCTTAACTTCCTTTCACACTTCAGCTCAAATGCCACATTGGGCAGGAGGCCTTTTCCACTCCCCCCAGCTGCTAGTGCTTCCCCTATGAAGCTAGGGCATCACCTTCCATCTACCCTGTTTGTATCTTGTATGTGATTTTCATGGATCCCCCATTAGAATGTGAGATTCTGAGGGCAAATCCTATTCTTTACATTCTCAGCACTTAGGTCAGTGCCTAGCACACAGTAAGTGCTTAATAAATGCTTCTTGACTGACTGAATGGATTTCAGGTGTAAGAGGAGAGAACTTGCTTTTCCCACTCCTCTCATCCGTTTGACCCCCCCTCCCTACAGGTGTCAATGACAGCTTGCAGTATAAGCACATGGCTGGTGGTGCTGTGTGCTTGTCTGATAAGCCCGAAAGGAGTCCTTAGGCCCTTAGCAGCCTTCTGTTGCTTGGCTGTTTCCCTCCCAGAGGCCACGTAATTAATGAATAATCTGAAGAAACGAATGTTTCCAGCCTTAGTAACTCCCTTGTGAGTTCCTGGGAAGAGATGCCATTTGGGTCAGCCTGGGGAGGATGAGTAGGAATTCAACAGGTAAAGAAGGAGAGGGAAAATATTGTAGTGACAAGGAATGGAATGAACAAAGGCCTGGGGTTGGAAGAGGGTAAGGGTGCATTTAGGGGGAGAGGGTGTGTTGGTATGTAATATGTGCACCTTTTTCATTTGTTCATTCGTTTGACAAACACATCAAACATTCACTCTGTATAAGACTCTGTGTGTTTCTATGTCACTGAAGTCAGGATGAAAGGAATTTGGCTGTCTTTATTTTCCTTTAAAAAAATACTACATGTTCTAATATGTCTGAGAGCATGCATGCAAAACATAGTCAATCCTAATTGGCCTTTGCTTCTTTTCCTTTAGTGAGACTGAACATTGCAACAATCGGTTACTGGATAGAGGAGAAGGAATCTAGGAATAAGTTTATAGTTGAGTTGATGGGTAAAAACAAAAACAAAAACAAAAATAAAAACCAGCTGCTTTGGAAGTGCTTTGGGTCACGCTCCCCAGAGTGATTTTCAAGCTCTTTTGAAGATTCTCTTGGCTTCCACGCCTTGGTATGTATAGCTCTGAAAGTTAACAAACATGAAAATGATGCTTGTTAAAATTTAACCAGCGAGATGAAAATCAATATTGATCATAATTTCTAAAAATCAGTCAGTAGTAAATACTCTCTTTTCATTTGGCAGTAGTACGTCACAAAGAAAAGAGAATTTCTTTTTTCATTTCTTAAGTTTCAATTTCTTAAATATGTTAATTTTCTTCTATGCACATCCAAAGAAAGAACTATGGAATTTGAATACAGATCAAAGCATACTATGTGTATTTTTTTTTCTTTTGAGTTTTGTTTCTTCTTTCTGATGGTTCCTCCTATTGGTTCTAATTCTTACTTACAACATCATTAATGTGAAAATATGTTTAATAGGAATGTATATGTATAGCCTATATCAGATTGTGTGCTGTCTTGGGGAGGGTGGTGGGAAGGAAGGGGGAGAAAAATTTTATACTCAAAAGCATATGGAAGTGATTGTTGATAAATCAAAATAAATTAATTTTTAAAATCATGAAAAAAACATAAATAAATAAAAATTTCTTAATTTTCTTTTCTTTCTTAAATTTTCTTTAAAATTCTTAAATTTTCATTTCTTAAGAGATAGATGATTTATATTCATTCATTTTATTTAAATATTGATCGATTTGCCATCCCCTTAATAGGCACCTGCACTTCAAAATACCTTGATTAGGAAAGGAAAAAGGAAACAGGCATTTATTAAACACTGACTATGTGCCAGGCATCATACTAAGCGCTTTACAATTCTTGTCTCCTTTGAGGTAGATGTTATTATTTTCCTCATTTCATGGCTGAGGAAAATGAATCAGACAGAGAGTAAGTGACTTGCCCAGGGTCACACAGCTAGTAAGAGTCCTGGGGCCAGACCCAAGGAATGAACCAAGTTTTGACAGGAATCCTGCATTAACTCATGCTTATTATACATTAAGCCATCATTTCATTTGACTGTTGGATGGCTTCACATATCCTGGGCTTTGTCAGTGTGGGTGCCCTTTTGATGAGCATAGATCCCATTAGCTAAAGGTCCTGAAGAGTTGTCGTGGCTGAAAAAGTCATCCTTTTGCATTCAACTCCAAAACGAAACTCCCTGAGTCAATTTGGTTGATTCCCAAATGACCAATATGTAGTCATGCCAGACCCATATGCAAAGACTCCCACAACTGGCAGGGCCTGTCAGAGCTTGGCCCTCACTGACAGGGCCCTGAAGACCACAGGGTTACTATCCCCAAAGAGGAATCGGAGAAGGCTTTTTCTTACTGTGTAATCATGAATAATAATACAATTCAGTTGTTAAGACTTTATTCTCTCTAGGGTATCATGATTTTTAAATAACTCACCTGGACCATTTCATCCCCTACAATTTCTCTAACGGTGTTCAGTTCATTTCCATTATCCACTCGTTTGAATTTGCCAACAAGCTTGTTCCCTTCCAAATTCCAGTTCCCCTACACATAAAGCAAATGCATTTAGGACACTTCAGAAAACAGCATCCTAAGCTTATTCCAGAAATTGAGACAGCCGCTCGGGTTCCCTGCCCCTGGAGTGTAATTACGAGATCAATCAATCAAAAGGGATTCATTAAGTGCTTCTTAGGCGCTAAGCCCTGGGAAAATGAGTACAAAGAATGAAACATCCCTATTCCCAAGAAGCCTCCTGCTAATGGAAGACAACAACCAACATATGTAAACACATGTGTACACGTATATACATATACACCTATATTCAGACATATACATGTGTATATATGTATATATGTATATATATATATATATATATATATATATATATATCCATGTACACATATATCAGTACAAATGTAAAGTAGATAAATAAAAATAAATATGAAGTAGATAGATGAAAGGTAGCTGTAGGGGAGGGCACTGGCATCTGGGGGAATCAGGAAAGACTTCATGCACAAGATGGTGCTTGCGCTAAGCCTTTAAGAGTAATAATAATAAGCAGCATTTATAGAGAGTTTTAAGGTTTACGAAGACTTGCAAATAGTAGCTCATTTGATCCTCATAATGACCCAGAGAAGAACATGCTCTTATGATTATTATTATTAGCCACATGTTATAGATGAAGAAACTGAGAGAGATTAAGTGACTGAGCCAGAGGCGCACAACTAGTTAAGTGACTGAATCCAGATTTGAAGTCAGGTCTTCTTGACTCCAGGGCCAGTGTTCTATTCACTTTCCCACTCAGCTAAAGGAGGAGAGGTGCTTTGTGAGACAGAAGTAAGGAGGGAGTGCTTTCCTTGTATAGGGAACGGCCAGTCCAGAGGCACACACAGGAGATGGAGTGTTTTGGGTGAAGAACGGAGAGAAGATCAGTTTGGCGGGATCACAGAGTGGGAGGGGGCATAATGTTTACTGAAGGTGGAAAGATAGGTGGGGGCCAGAGTGTATAAGGCTTTAGAAATTAGACAGAAGAGTTTCTATTTTATCCCAGGGAGAACCATTTAGCATCATCAGTGATGCTAATGTTCACTGTTAAGGTTCATATTTATGTTACAGTAATTATCTTTCCTTCTCCAAGTAAAATAACGGAAAGGCAAATAGACTTCCTGGAAAATGAAAGCAGAGTTCTTTTCACATACTCTTGTGAGATGAGCAGTGGGGTATCCTGGAAAGAACCCTGATCTGGAAATCAGGGGACCTGGCTGTGAGTCCCCGGTCATGCCCCTTTCCTGCTCAGTATAATAAGGAGGTCAGCCTAGATGAGCCTGCCAGGTATGGATACCTAGGGTTCAAATAAAGCTGTGAGGCACCTGACAAGATGCAAGCTGAGGCTCTCCCCAAGTCTCTCAATGCTTTCATTAATGGGTGGGGTTCTCTGAGTGGCACAAATTGATAATGTTTCCAAGAAAAGACACTCAAGAATCAAATTAGCCAAAAAAGAAAACTTAAAATGGAAACTAACCATTCTGAGAATTTAAAAAAAATGCAAACAGCAGTAAAGAATAAGGTCTCATGAGCTTAGCTGTTTACTAATTAGAAAGAAACATTTGACTTGACAGAGCCAAACTTGGGATCTCCCACAAATGAGGGTTCGTCCTGCCTCATTAGAGAACATGTGGTATTTCTTGATAGATACAACAACAGAAAGGGGAACAAGGAAGTGGGATTCCTTGTACCAGAGGGTGAGTCCTCCAAGTTCTCCTGCTTCTCAGGGTACATGCTTCATCCCCTCAGTAGAATGAATGCTGTTTGAGGGCAGAGTTTGATGTTTTTGTCTGTATCTCTGGTCCTTTGCATAGTACCTGGCACAGAATAGGCACTCAACAAATGTTCATTGAATTGGAGGAGATAAGTATGAATTATTGGGTCCCAAAAGTAATTAAATTCCAAGAGATCGTTGAGGTTACCATGATCATGGATCCCAGGGTGGGAAGAGGACAGGGAGAGCATTACTAAATTACAATGTATGTTAGGAACAAATGACCCTGGCTCCCACCCCTTCTGTATCATAGATCCCTTTTTTCTTAAGGTAAGATGGAGGCAAAATAAAATATTTGTTAATTGAAACAAGTTAAATTTTAAAAAGTGAGTGAAAGGGGAATAATGAATAATAGGGCTGGGCAGACAGGTTGGGACTGACTGTCAAGAGTTTTGAAGGGGAGTAAAGGGGTTTGTGGGAGTTAGTTCCATGTGGTATAGAAAGAAGGGAATGATTTCAGGAAGAAGCGATTTACGTTAAGTTGTGTTCCATCGGCCAAGCTGTAGAAAAAGTCAACTCCGAACTCAAACTCAATATCCAGAGTTCGGAATGTGCTGGATTCACGGACAGCGATCTTGTCTCCTGTTTGGGTAATCGTTATCTTCAAGTTGTCATGGGCTGCCAGCTTTCTCTTGACCACATTGATGCCTGTGAGATCAAAGACGTGACAGTTCCCAACTTTAGATTCCATGGATTTGCATCCTGGCAGGCTTCCCTTGTGAGGTGAGGGCATTCTAACCAGTAAAATAAGCACATTGATTTCTGATAAGAAGCATCCTATGGTACCCCAGAGTGTGTGTGTGTGTGTGTGTGTGTGTGTGTGTGTGTGTGTGTGTAGGTGTGTGGGTGTGTGGGTGTGTGGAGAGAGGGAGAGGGAAGAAAAGAAGGGATATGGGGAGAGAGAGAGGGAGAGAGAGAGAGACAGAGATAGAGAGAGACAGAGACAGAGAGAGACAGAGAAAGTATAACCTTGGAGGGGACAGTTGGCTGCTCAGCTATCTTTTCTGTGCTCCACTCTGTTCTCTCGCCAGGCTCATCTGTTTACAGCTGGAAAGCCTTAGAAGCCATCAAATCAAGCCTCCTCATTTTACCAGCAAGGAAATTGAGGCACACACAAATCAAGGAACTTGCCCAAGGTCACAGCCAGGAAGTTACTAAGGCAGGATTTGAACCTGGGTCTTCCTGACTTGAAATCCAGTGCCCAACTATTAACCAACAAGGTGAAATCAATTCACTTCTGTCTGTGAAATTATTGAGTGCCTACTACATTTCAGGGCTCTCTGGATGGCGTGGGGAGAGAGGAAAAGCTTGACTGAGATGTGGTTTCTGTCCTCCTAGCTAAGTGGCGTAGTGGATAAAGCACTGGGGCCTGGCGTCAGGAAAACCTGAGTTCAATCTGGCCTCAGACACCTACTAGCTGTGTGACTCTTGACAAGTCACTAAACCTGCTTGCCTTAGTTTCCTCATCTGTAAGATGAGGATAATAGCAGCACCTACCTCTCAGGGTTGTTGAGAGAATCAGATAAGACAGTATTTGTGAAGCCCTTAGCACAGTGCCTGGCACATAGGAAGCCTTTAATAACTGATCGTTTCCTTCCTTCCTTCTCCCCTCCTGGAGCTGTGCTGGTAGAACAGGACGCCCCATCCAGATGACTCTGATGCACCCCTTTCTGTGGTAACGGTCTTGGGGAGCTGCAGAACAGAGTGCTGTGAGAGAGGGGAGGGAGTGGGGCTGAGGTTAGACGGGGGATCCAGACACATTCTCCGGAAGAGGGAATTAATGGCTTGGGCGTTAGACGGTGGTGAGGGATATTCCCACTGTGCCCCAAAGGCACAGAACTGAGAAAGCCAAGGAAAGGGAAACATGCATTAAGTGCCTACTATGTGCCAGGCACCAGACTAACTACTTTGCGAATACCTCGTTTGATCCTTACAACAGCTCTGGGAGGTAGGCACTGTTACTATCCTCATTTTACAGATGAGGAAACTGAGTAAGGCAGAGAGGTGAAGTGACTTACCCAGGGTCACACAGCTAGTAAGTGTCTGAGGCCAGCTCTGAACTCAAGTCTTCCGGACTCCAGACCCAGCACTTTGTGCATTGAGCCACCAGCTACCCCAGGATGTGTTCAAAGGGCAGAGAGGAGGGTTGGCTTTGTCTGCTGCATAAATTATGTGGAGATATGACACATGGAGACAAGGCTGGGAACCATCGCTTAAAACAATTAGACGGTGCTCGAAGCTTTTGTTCCCCACCCCCCTCTTCCGGTAGACAGAACATTTCATTCTTCCTAATATAAGACTGATTGAGCTGCTTCCCATCCCTTGAATGAGAGATATAACCAGGACAGAGCTTGTGGGCTTTGGCCCAGGGTGCTGACATCTGAGGGAGATGCTACATGGCTCAGTCCTGTTCCCTTACCTGACTCTAGCCCACCAAACCCAGGTCCCATCACCATGGTGCCCCTCCCCAAAGGATTCACCTTTGTCCTTAAACAGTAGAGGGGCACACACCAGTCTCTCTGAATGTTATTGCACTTATTTGTCTAACCTGATTCAACCACGGTTAGCTGCCTCCACTCCACCCCCAATCAATTCTTTCTGCCTCAGGTGAAAATAATTTTTAGTAATTGCATTGCCCTTATGAGTCTCATTCCCTTTTTATCAACAAGAGCCCACCATCAAAATTGCAGATTTGAGTAGAGTTAGAAGTCCAATCAGTGAGAAACTAGATAAGAGTTTTCTCTTTTGACCTCAGTTTCCTCTTCTGTAAACTGACTGGGTTGGATGAAATGATCCCTAAGATCCCTTTCAGTTTTAAATTAATGATCCCTTCCTTCCTTCCTTCCTTCCTTCCTCCCTTCCTTCCTCCCTCCTTCCCTCCCTTCCTTCCTTCCTTCCTTCTTTCCTTCCTCCCTTCCTTCCTTCCTTCCTTCCTTCCTTCCTTCCTTCCTTCCTTCCTTCCTTCCTTCCTTCCTTCCTTCCTTCCTTCCTTCCTTCCTTCCTTCCTTCCTTCCTTCTTTCCTTCCTGCCTTCCTGATTTCTTTCTCACAATATTCTTGTCTCCTTCCAACTATTACCAGGATCCATTAACACCTAAAAGAGCTAAAGAGCTGATGGCATTTTGTGAACTCTTGGCAACTTCTTGGAGTCAGGAAGGGTTGGGGCTAGCAGGAGCCCTGAAAATAAATAACTGGCCAGCAAAATCTACCCTCCTGAAGAAATCAGCAGGGAATTATAAAGATCAAAGTTTGATATTGTCCTTAGGTGACTTGGAAGCAAACAATGGATAGATAGCACCAGAAAACCCAGTAGAATGATTAGCAGAAACAGGCTGGATATCTCACAGATCACCAGAAAGTTTCTCAACAGTCATCTGGCCTCCTGGCTCAGCAAGGGATTTGCTGTTAAAGAATAAATTCTTACCCATTTTTTCCATGAACTTGTCATAGTTCTCACTGCGGTCCACCTTCCAAGTGCCGTCAAATGCCATGTTTCTCAGTGTTCTTTCCCTCCTTGGCCAGAGATTCAAGACTGGGTTTTGAGGAGCATTTATTCTTCTGCTTATCTGTGAACCAATGTGTACAATGATGTGGCTGTCTAAAGTCCAAGATTTCATGAAGCTACATCAAGGCTAAGCTTTGGGGTGGTGCCTTCTTTGAAAACCCCTCCCAAAATGGTCTCTTGAAACTTCACTCATTTGCAATGCAGGGGAACATATATTTCTGAAAGAAAATCAGAATCTGAAGGTCCATTTATTTCAGGAATTACCACTTGTTTGGAGAACATCCTGTAAGGATGTGTGCGTGTATGTGTGTGTGTGTGTGTGTGTGTGTGTGTGTGTGAGAGAGAGAGAGAGAGAGAGAGAGAGAGAGAGAGAGAGAGAGAGAGAGAGAGATCTGGTGACTAGATCCTCTTCCTCCTTTTCCACAGCCTCCAATCCTAAGTGAGGCCAGTGATTTCCAAGGATCATTCAAGGATGATTGGCATAATCTTTTATGGATGCCTTAGGTAGATGCTTTGAGACTTGAGAGCTACTTTGGGAGAAACTAGAGGGTTTTATCATTAGTATGTGACTTTTTTTTTCTTTTTGGTGAGGCAATTGGAGTTAAGTGACTTGCCCAGGGTCACACAGCTAGTAAGTGTCAAGTGTCTGAGGCTGGATTTGAACTCAGGTCCTCCTGACTCCAAGGTTAGATCTCTATCCATTGCACCACCTTAGCTGCTCCATCACTGGGCTTGGAGCCAAGAAGGCCTGGGTTACAGTTCTGCCTCAGACTAATTGTGTCACTAGTTGCTCATCCTGAGCAAATACCTTAACCTTTCTGGGCCTCAGTTTCCTCCTCTGTAAAATGAGTGGGTTGATGTAAGTTTCTCTGATCTCTAAATCTGTGCTCCTGTGCCCCATTGAGGCAAATTTCTGAGGGAAGAAGGACATTGCCATTTTTTGTCACCATATGTGAAGGTAATGTTGGTGATGGGGGCTGTCTTGGAAATCGAGATGTCTGGGATGAAGGCTCCCTCCTCAAACTTGTGGAAGCTGTGGTCTAGCAAGGTTAGAACCAAAGGAATAACTTGAAGAAGGTCCTTGGGCGGCTACTGAATCATACCTACTATGATGGAGGGAGGCTCATGCCTCCCACTAGGCTTGGAGCCCCCTAGAGGCATTGCTCTTTATTACACCCAGTGGTGCCCCATGCTTCACTGGCAGGCCCCCACGGGACGGTTATCTTGGGCAGGCACCATGGTAATGGAAAGAACACTTGCTTGGAGTCAGAAAACCTGGGTTCAAATCTGACTTCTGACATTTACTGCTTTTGTAACCATGGTAACATGTGTTTCCAGTGATGCTGTGTGGCATTAGGCCAGAGCTCACGGTGATGTTTTCAAATAAAATTCTGACTAGGAAAAAAAACCCCAAAAACCCAACTCATTTGTAAAACAAGGGGGTTGAAGGATCCGTACAACTCAAAATCTATGATCCTATTACCCCAGGCCAGTCACTTAACTGCTCGGAGTCTGATTTTCCTCTTCTGTAAGATAAGGGGTTTGGGCTAAATGATCCCTAAATGATCCCTAAGGTTCCTTCAAGGCTTAAAGAAGAGCATCGTCTTTGGGTCCCAAAACAGCATCTTGTCAAAGAGGGATGTTTTTCTGCCTCCAGATGTGGCCACCCAAAGTCAGAGCCGTTGTATGGGAATAGATATGTTTTATTATTGTATTGTTGTTTGTTATTATTATTATTATTATTATTATTATTATTATTTTTGGCTAGGCAATGGGGTTAAGTGACTTGCCCAGGCTCATACAGATAGTAAGTGTTATGTGTCTAAGGCCAGATTTGAACTCAGGTCCTCCTGAATCCAGGGCCGGTGCTCTATCCATTGTGCCACCCAGCTGCCCCAAATAGATACGTTTTGCAGTATAAATCAGATAAACTTGGAAAGGAGACTGTACTGGCCTTTCCACTCCCTCTGCCCCTCCCCAAGGTAATTAACTTGTAAAACAAGCCTTTACTATCAGAGGCTTGTAAGATCAGCAGTTAGAGAAAAGGCAAAGATCCCTGTATTTACTAAACGAAAAGTAATTTGCTCTCATGTTTTTCTGCTGGGTGGTGACCAGAGCTTTATTATGCCAACATGCCACTTGGGCAAAGGTTTGAGGGGTGGCATAGTGCTATGGCATCCCTGCATCCTGTCACAGTCTCTAGGGAAAGACAAGGGGGCAGGTCACCTATGGGCCAATGGCTTTGTGGCTGGGTTTCACAAGCTAGGGAGCAATTCATATTTTGGGAAAGCTTCATTAATTTGAGGTGTTATGGTTAAATGTCTTCATTCTGAAGGGAATTCCCAAGGTTTGAAGCCCTCCTTCTATCAAGGTTGCTTCTGTACCTGCATGAATTCATGATTTCACCAATACAGACATGCCCTTCTTCTGGTGCATTTTGCATTCCATCCCATGAGCCTTCTCATCACCAGTGATTCCTGTCCATGTCTTTTCATAAACATTCCATAGAGAAAGTGTACTCTAGTGGAAATAGCGTTGATCTTGGCATCATTAGGAGCAATCGAGGAGCAGATATGGCCACTGGTCCTTAGTAACCCCTCCCTGAAAGGTTGCCTAATTGACAAAAAAGGTGTCCCAGAATCATAGAGTTAGAAATTTCAGAACTTTGGGGGTTGAGTCCAACCACTTTAGTCTATAGGTGAAGATCAGAGAATTTAAGTGACTTACCCAGAGTCACAGAGCTAGGAAGTGTCCAAAGGGGAATTTGTACCTGTTTTACAGACTTCAAGGCCAGGGCTATATTCATTATACCATATAATCTCTTCTTCTAAACATCAATTAAGAAGTCCCATTTGCATAGAGAATGATTGGGTCAAACAACAAATCATAGAAACAACGAATAACTTCATCAAAGAGAGTGACAGTAATGAGACAATGTGCCAAAACTTCTGAGATGCAGTGAAAGCCATTCTTAGGGGGAGGGGGTTTTATAATTAATTTATTTTTAGTTTTCAGCATTCACTTCCATAAGATTTCGAGTTTTAAATTTTCTGCCCCTCCCTGAGACAGCGTGCAATCTGATATAGGTTCTATGTATACATTCCTAGTAAACATATCTTCACATTAGTCATGTTGTAAAGAAGAATTAGAACCAATAGAAGGAACCACCAGAAAAAGGAAACAAAACAATAAAAGAAAAGAAGAGGGAAAAGAGTCTGCTTCCATCTGCATTCAGACTCCATCGTTCTTTCTCTGGAAGTGGACAGCAATTACCATCATGAGTCTTTTGGAGTTGTCTTAGATTCTTGCATTGCTGTGAAGATTGGTTATTATTCTTTTTCTTATATGCATTTTATTAATTTATTTTGATTTATCAAATAATAATAATAATAATAATAATAATAATAATAAAAACTTCCATAAGCTTTTGAGTTTTAAAATTTTTCCCCATTCCCAGTACAGCCGCAATATGATATAGGCAATACCTTCCTATTTAAGCATATTTTCATGTTAGTGATGTTATAAGGCAGAATTAGAACCAAAACATAACAGAAGAAAAAAATAGCAAATAATATGCCAAGTTTGTTAGGGGGAGTTTTATATCTCTCAATGCTTACATGATTAAAGTAAAGAAAGAGAAGATCAATGAATTGGGCATGCAACTAAAAAAGCTAGAAAAAGAACAAATTAAAAATCCTCAAATACCAAATTAGACAATTTGAAAATCAAGGCAGAGATTAATAAAATAGAAATTAAGAAAACTATTGAACTATTCATAAACTAAGAGCTAGTTTTATGAAAAAAGACACCCCATAAAATAGAAAACCTTTGGTTAATTTGATGAAAAAAAAAGAAAGAAGAAAACCAAATTACTAGTATCAAAAATGAAAAGAGTGGATTCACCAATCATCCAAACTACTTGGTACTGGTTAAGAAATAGAGTGGTGGATCAGTGGAATAGGTTGGGTACACAAGACACAGCAGTCAATGACTATAGTAATCTACTTTTTGATAAACCCAAAGACTCCGGCTTCTGGGATAAGAACTCACTACTTGACAAAAATTGCTGGGAAACCTGGAAAAGAGTATGGCAGAAACTAGGCTAGACTAACATCTTACACTGTATACCAAGATGAGGTCAAAATGGGTACATTATTTAGACATAGAAAGTGACACCATATGCAAAGTAAGAGAGCGAGGAATAGTTTACCTGTCAGATATGTGGAGAAGGGAAGAATTTATGACCAAATAAGAGAAAGAGAACATTATGAAATGCAAAATAGATAATGCTGATTACATTTAAATTTAAAAAGTTTTGCACAAACAAAGCCTATGCAACCAAGATTAGAAGGGAAGCAAAAAGTTGGGAAACAGTTTTTATAGCCAGTGTCTCTGATAAAGACCTCATTTCTAAAATATATAGAGAACTGAGTCAAATGTATAAGAATACAAGTAATTCTTCAACTAATAAATGGTCAAAGGATATGAACAGGCAGTTTTCAGACGAAGAAATTAAAGCTATCTTTAGTCACATGAAAAAATGCCCTAAATCACTATTGATTATGGAAATGCAAATTAAAACAACTCTGAGGTACCACATCACACCTATCAGATTGGCCAACGTGACAAAACTGGACAATGATCAATGTTGGAGAAGATGTGGGAAAATTAGGACACTAATGCATTGTTGGTGGAGTTGTGAACTGATCTAGCCATTCTGGAGAGCAATTTGGAACTATGCCCAAAGGGCAACCAAACTGTGCATACCCTTTGATGCAACAATACCACTACTAGGTCTGTAACGCAAAGAGATCATAAAAAGGGAAAAGGACTCACAAGTATAAAAATATTCATAGCAGCTCTTTTTGTGATGGCAAAGAATTGGAAATTGAGGGGGTGCCCATCCATTGGGGAAAGGCTGAGCAAGTTGTGGTATATGAGTGTAAAGAAATACTATTGTTCTATAAGAAATGATGAGCAGGTGGACTTCAGAAAAAACCTGGAAAGACTTCCATGAACTGATGTATAGTGAAGTGAACAGAA